GACGTAGCAGACGATTCCATTATCATCACTGAGGGTCGCGACCTGCAGCGATGACGCATCGTTATCGCTCACTATGCTATAATTCGCGTAGAATTCCAACTGGTCTGCTACTACCTGGTACGTCTGGCAAGCAGCAAAGTTACCATTGTCTGGGCTGTCAGTGAAGCAAACCATGCCGTAGTCTCCAATCGTGTTGGTTGTGATGGAACCGAAAGTTGCTTCATCCGATTCGAAGAAAGTGCTGGCCGTGCCTGAAACAGGAGCGCCACTGCTGTCCAAGAGTACACAGCGAGCAGAGCCTCCCTCGTTGTAGCACAGAACGGCGCCATCGTCCTCCTGCAACGGCTCAATCACAATATGAGATGCTGACTGCCCCTCGCTGAAGCTCGCTGGGCTGCCAGCATCCAGACTGGACCCGGTTAAGCTCAACTCGCTGCACTTGCCCTCCGCCGCAATGGCACACCCAGCGCACGAGTAGCAAACCACTCCAGAAGTATCAGTAATCTTCGCGACAGCGACGTAGGTAGAGCCCGTTGTCTCGTTCTCAATCTCGATAGACTGCTCCAACGTCAGAACAACATCGGTGATGGATAACAGATTGCAAATCACATGCTGAGTGGACCCAGTGAAGCAAACGACGACTCTGCTCTCGCTGAAAGCTGCCACCGAAATCCGCCACGGTGCCGTGAGCACTGTATGAAGTGCCCTCTGTCCTCTGCATTGAGCATTGTAGATACTCTCGAAGAGCCCAGAACCGTAACTCACTGTCGCTCCTGAACGGGGCATGGCGTTCCCTGGGCGCGGCACATGAGTTCTTCTCGAGGCCAAAGAGCGCTGAGACGGCCGAGGAGGGTCCCAAGACGGCCCTCAGACGGTCCAAGGGGGCCCCGAGACAGCCCGAGGGCCTTCCAAGACGGCCCAAGAAAGGCCCAAGACGGCCCAAGACGGCCCCCAAGACAGCCCAAAAGGGCCCCAAGAGGAACCGCTCAATACAGACGAACATGGTGCAGGGGCCGCAGTGCGCCGAAGCAACCACAAGTGGAATCAGAAGAGCGTGGCAGCGAGGATAACGACAAACACTCCATTCCGCGTGCAAATTCACTCCACATGTAACCAGAGGTGAATTCCGCGTGTAACTCCACCCCGCTGGACCTCCCAGGAGCCCACGAGAGTGGCGACAGGGAGCCGCGAGGTCCCGTCTGGGTCTGCGTGTAACTTCACTCCGCTGGACCTCCCAGGAGCCCACGAAAATGACAACAATTGCGCAGTACGCAGCCCCCGAGGGACCCGCGAGGTCCCGTCTGGATCCGCGTGTAACTCGACTCCGCTGGACCTCCCAGGAGCCCACGAGAGTGGCGACACATGCGCAGTCCGCAGCAACCCAGGGAGCCGCGAGGTCCCGACCTCGTGTAACTTCGCTCCGTTGGACCTCCCAGGAGCCAACGAGAGAGGCGACAGTTGCGCAGGTCTCAGCCCCCCGAGGTGGAGGAACAGGCAGGGACAAAGCACTGGAGTCCTAGTTGAAGTTCGTCGCCGAAGCTCTAGAGGTTGCCCCAGCCCCGCCCAGGCCACGTGGCCAGAACGGGTGCCGCTCCAGACGCCAGAGAGCGGGACCTCTTCCTCTTTGGGAGGACAGAACAGTATACAGCCACCGCAACGAAATCTTTGGCCAGAGTAGAGCAGCTGCGGCTGGTACGGCGCCAGGGACTGGGGTCAGTCCGGATTGCGGGGGTGGTTCTTCCTCCTCCGCCCCACCGCCCCACCCAAACCTCCCCAACCGCCGCGCCCGTGGCGCTTGTCTTCTGATCGTCTACCCATGCCAGCCTCTTCTGTCACCCAAGCACCTGGCCTGAACATGGCATCGGGACTAACCCCATGCCAGTGGAAGCTTATCAAACCAACACTCTGAAAGTGTCCATTGAATTCCAAGCGTAGCTACGCTGCGGCGCCGTATGCTACGGAAGTCTGTTCTGCTCACAATGCCGTGTTCAGCGCTATCGCCACAACCCCTCACGTGCATGCGACTATATATATAGATATGTATATATATGTATGCGTATGTATATATATATATATGGATTGCCACGGCTCCGACAGCTTGATATCTATAAATGTATATGTATACACAAGCATACATACATACATGCATGCATGCATACATACATACATGCATACCTACATACATACATACATACATACATACATACATACATACATACATACATACATACATGCATGCATGCATGCATACATACGTACGTACGTACGTACGTACATACATATATGCATGCATACAAACAAACATACATACATACATGCATGCATACATACCTACATACATACATACATACATACATACATACATACATACATACATACATACATACATACATGCATGCATACATACATGCATACATACATACATACATACGCATGTGATTGTACATGCCAGGGCCAACGCGCCAACTGCCTTCTGGCAGACGCTGGTGTCTTCTGTTGTGTTTACACAGTGAAACAAAAAAAACACAACAGACACAACTGACAGCGCATGTTCAGTAGTTTGCATCCTGACTCCACCAAAGTCGACGCTAAAGTGCTAGATGAGCATTGAATAGTGTTCAGCTTGTCCCACAGTATAGATCTAATGAGCTCTTTTGGCTCAGAGCACCACACAGTGGGACACGTTTACGCAACTCGGTCCTTATGTCCCATCCGAGAGCTCTTGGTCTTAACCAATTCCGTGGGCAATCTTCCCACGCGCGAACAATTGTAAGTCATGCCGCTGCTGTCCCCCACAGTGGCACAGCGGTGGGAACCCCCAGCTGGTCGGGTAGACAACAGCATATGTAAGACTCCCGTCGGTTCCATTTTCGAGCCCTCGGCGGAATCCGAGTCCAATCCAATCCAGCGGGCCTCCCAGGAGCCCACGAAAGTGGCGACGGCTGCGCAGCTCGCAGCCCCCCACGGAGCCGCGAGGCCTCACCCGGGTCCGCGTCTGACGCCACCCCGCTGGACCTCCCAGGAGCCCACGATAGTGGCGACAGAGGCGCAGTTCGCAACCCCCCACGATGCCGCAGGTCTCGTCTGGGCCCGCGTGTAACTCCGCTCCGCTGGACCTCCCAGGAGCCAACGAGAGAGGCGACAGTTGCGAAGCTCGCTGCCCCCGGGAAGCCGCGAGGTCTCGTGTGGGTCTGCGTGTACCTCCCAGGAGCTCACGAGAGTGGCGACAGATGCGCAGTTCGCAGCAACCCAAGGGGTCGCGATGTCTCGTCTGGGCCAGCGTCTAACTCCACTCCGCTGGACCTCGCAGGAGCCCACGAAAGTGGCAACAGCTGCGCAGATCGCACCCCCACAGGGAGCCGCGAGATCCCGTCTGGGTCCGCGTCTAACTCCACCCCGCTGGACCTCGCAGGAGCCCACGAGAGCGTCGACACATGCGCAGTTCGCAGACCACCAGCGAAGCTGCAAGGTCTCGTCTGGGCCAGCGTTGAACTTCACTCCGATGGACCTCCCTGGAGCCCACGAAAGCGGCGACAGCTTCGCAGTTCGCAACCCCCCAGGAACGTCTCGTCTGGGTCCGCGCGTAATTCCAGTGGGGTGTCATCCTCTCACTTTGGCCAACAGTGTGATACCCTTGAAGGAGACCCAAAACCACGAGTTCCAGGGGGCGACCTTGGGATTTCCCGCCGAACTCCCCAGAGGCCCAAGAACGGCCGTTCCGCTCAAGGCATCCTCCCGCGACATCGGCCTCAGCGGGCGGTACCACGAAGGGGCCATGAGGCCGTCTTGTGCAAAGACAGCCCCCGAGACCCCAGAGACCTCCGAGGGGCCGCCAAAAGGCTCAAGGACGTCCCACGAGGCTCCAAAGAAACCCGAAAGAGGCCCAGAGGCACCCAATGATAAGCCCGAGGCACCCCAAGAGATCTTAAGAGGCATCCGAAAGGCCTCCGACCCACAATTCAAGCACAATGGTGGAATGGGTCGAAGGCCACTAGATTCGCCGCCCCCAGTGACTCCCACAGGGATGCTATGCTTGCCGTGCCGATAGGCGGCTCTTATTCTCTATTTGGCCATTCCAAAAGGTTCCCGGTCGAGTCCCGGCTTATCCCCCCAGCCACCTGCGCGGGCCCGGGCGGACCGGGAAGGGCCGGGAGGTAATGGTTTTGCCGCCCAAGATGGTTCCAAGAGGTGGGCCGAAATGGTCCGCCTGCCCAAGGTGCCCTCCAAGACAGCCGAAGCGGCCTCAAGACGGCCCAAGAAGCCTCCAAGACGCCCCGAAAGGTATCCAAGAGGACGACCTCCAGGACGTTCCCATCGCTCGTTGAACATATGTTTTCCTACTTCAAAGGCGCGGCCTCCCCAGGGGTCGCGGAGACGGGCGACAGAACTTTGGATTCAGGCACATGTTTCACACACATCGACCCTGAGCTGCAAGCGCCGTGGCATCCACGGAAGGTTCTCAACAAAGGACGGCCCATGGCTGGACTGTGCATGAAAAACCTCCACAGAAGTCACACATCACAAAACTCGTGTCCCGCGGGGGAGGCGGGCGGGAGCTTGAAGCCAAGATGTCACCGCGAGAAAGAGATCGCGGCAGGACAAAGCGACGATCGGAAACATCCGAGGCCACTCGGCTGCAGGAAAACGGATCGAAGGCAATTCATAAGGCGTGGCCTCCCCAGGGGTCGCGGAGACGGGCGACAACACTTCGGACGCAGACGCATTTTTCACATCGACCCCGAGCTGCAAGCGCCGTGGCATCCACGGGTGGTTCTCAACAAAGGACGGCCCATGGCCGAACTGTGCATTGAAACCTCCACAGAAGTCACACATCACAAAACTCGCGCCCCATCCCCATATACAAATGCCCCAGGGAGGGCGGGCGGGGAAGAACAACAATGCAGCGACAGAGCCGAGCGCGACCGAACAGCACTGCGGGCGCGGCGAAGACCACGCGCACACGGCGAAGGCCGCGACACGGCTCCGACTGCACACACCACTGGCACGGCGAAGGCCGCGGCACACACCACGCGCACAAACAACAGCGGCTCCGACTGGTCAGTGAAGCCCGCGGCACGGCCCGCGTAGAGCTCGTCGTCGGGCGCCACCTCCGCCTCCGCAGCGACGAAGCGCCGCCGCTCGCGCCAGCGGGCGGTAGCCAACACCTCCCTAGGCCCCAGCCTTGCCTCGCACACCGCGTAGCCCTGAGGCGAGCTGTCGGCGGTGATGGCGACGTCCGACGGCACGCAGCAGAGTCGACCTCCGCCAAGAAGACGAAGCCCGCCGCAGTCGCGAGCCCCCCCAGCACGTCAGCAGGCAGTCGGGCCACGGGCGCCAGCTCGCCGTCGCCGATGAACGCGCAGCAGGCACCAAGCACGCTGAGCCCCGGCCGCAGGACCGAGAAGTAGCGCATCAGGCGACGATCCGCCGCAGCTGCCGGCGCGCCAGCCAGGGCCCCCGCAGCACGCGGCGCAGCAAGAGATAGAGCCGCCACGCGCGCTTCGAGGGGCGCCTGAGCTCCCCCATCGCGCCCGTCGAGCACTATCCCCGGGATGACCAGCCCCGGCTGCGCTCGCTCCAGCTCGCGCCAGCGCAGGCCGCGCCTGTCGAGCTCGTCGGTGAGCTCGTCGAGCCCGTCGCTGATCGCCGACGCGCCGAGCGAGACGAGGTTCCCGTCATCGACGCACGGCGCCCTGACAACCGGGCCCGACGCGGGTCGGAGCACGCGCCCTGTCAAGGCACCAGCCGCCACGCGGGAGCCCAGCCACATCCATCGCGTCGACGAGAACCTCGCGGCAGATCCAGAGCGCCCAGCCCCACCCCATGGGCAGCGCAGCGAAGCACGGCCAGATCGGCTCGTCGGGGGCCACGCGCACCCGGCGCTTGAGCTTCTCATCATAGATCGTGCCGATCCCGAGCTCGTCGGCCGTGACCTGGACATCGAAGCACATCCAGCTCCCCCAGGACGGGTCAGCAAACTGGGAGACACCGTCAATGAGGTCCACCGAGCCAGCGCAGAGCGACTCGTTGCAGCCGTCGAAGTCGGCGAGGTCTTCGGGGCTCGCGTCGACCGCGCCCAGAAGGTTGATCGATCCACGCGCCTCGCCAGACACCAGCACCGAGCGCGAGAGCAACTTGTGGAGCTGGTTCGGCTGACGGGCGTCGACCACCATGCGGATGTCCCCGCTCTTCTTCGCCACGAAGAAGGTACTGACGCAGGCCTTGTGCCGACGGCGGCCACCCGCCAGCCCGCGAGCGGCGAGACGTCGATGGAGGTCGACGAGGCGCCCGCGGTTCCGGGGGCCTCGAGGATTGAGCAGCGGGTCCCAGCACGGCTCGACGACGCCCTCCCCCTCAGGAATGGCGGCGACAGGCCGCGCCACGTCCGGCCTGAAGTCGTCGAGCACCTCAGCGACGTGATGCGGGCCGATACGTCGAAGCTGCTGGGGCCGATCCTCAGAACTTCGTCTGAGCACATTGAGTTTGTCAGCATCATAGTCACGACGAGTAGAACATTCACCCATGTTCGAGTACAGATCCTTGCACTTGAGGAGCTCCTGCAGGGCTCCAGCCGAATCCATGTCCTTCGGGCGCTCGCCGAAGCCGCGGACACGACGTCGGGCTCGCTGACTGATCGACTCCTGAGCGGTAGATGGCCTCTGCCTGCAGGGCGTTCGAGGCTCGAGACGCCGACCAGCCCGCGCGGCCGCCAAAGCATTGAGCGCTCCTAAGGCCTCGAGAGACCGACGCTCGCGATCATCAGCAAGAGCAGCACGCTGGGCCAGATACCGAGGCAAGGCGGCACGTTCTCCCTGGCGAGGCTGACGAAAGAATCCACCGCCTTGAGGAAGAGGAAACAAGACTGCGGACTGCGTCCGACCCTCGGAGGAGACCCACCAGCGCCACTGCTTGAGAGTGATCCCCTGGGCGCGCTGCTCCTCGGCCACGAAGGCATCGAACCTCGAGGTCACCACCCCGCCGCTCTCGTCCAAGAAGCAGCTGAACATCAGGCCCGGGCCCTAAGCTCGGGCGACGGGGGCGCCGTTTCAACGCGCGCTGAATCTGAAGCACACGGCACCCCACCAAGTCGAACGAAGCCAGTCTCCATGCGTCCAGGAGGTCGAAGGTCACGGCAAAGCGCAGCACGTTCAGGAGGGGCCGCATCTCCTGCGAGACGCCCGCGTTCCGCGAGACACCCAACTCCGAGACCCAGAACCCCCAGCACGACGTGAGCGCGAGCCCAGTCGCCAGCACCGCGGTCAGCAGCTCGGGGAAGGCCTTCGGCCCACGGAACGGCCAGTCGGAGATCTCGAGCGAGCTCATCATGCCCATCGTCTCCGAGAACATCACCTGATGACCCGGCCCGCGACGCGAGAGCGACGAGATGCGGGCGTCCCTTCCAGGCGCCCGCCTCTTCTCCGCGCGCCGGTCCTCCTCGTCGGCTTCCTGGGAGTTCTCCACCGAGACCCATCCCTCCTCCTCGCTGGTCATCGCGATGCCAGCCGCGTCGCGCTACACCAATCGCTCTGGGTTGCCCGACACCTGCAGGTCGAGTTCCTTCCCGAAGTCGGGCGACCCCGGGTCCGAGACGACCCACGGCGGCACGGTAGCCCCAGGCGGAGCAGCGGGGGCGGTCACGCCCATCGCGATGGCGAGCCCGCGCGCCTCCACACGAAGCGCCTCCATGTCCTCGTCGCTCTGGCCCCCAAAAGCATACACCTGGCCGCGAACCCTGGCAGGGAAAGCCGCCGCGGCGGAGTGCCGCGACCAAGTGCCCGCTGAGGTCGAGCACGAGCACGTCCCCATCTGGGCTTGCCGCCACCCAGACGCCAGGGCTAAGCTGCATCAACAGGAGTCGGTGGTGCCACCTGAAGTGGTCGTCGTCGTCGAGGTTCACGCGTACCTGCGACTCCGGCACGTCGAGCGTGCGTTGGGCCATCTGGCCGCCGAGCTAGTTCAAGCGCGAACTGCTCGAAAGCGAGGCCGCCCGCCGCCCTCGGTCGCCTACGCGTCCTCGACAACCCGCGCGACGGTCGAGCCGCCCTCGGCGCGGGGACGCGACGAGCCCCGCCGCTCGCGCGGCGATCCAGCCAGCAGCCCGCAGCAGCCCAGCGCCTCCAAAGCCGAGCAGCAGGCCAGCGGCCAGGGCGGCGCCCACCGCCCACCAGCCCGGGCCCGCGCCGCAGGCGAAGCTGCAGGTCGGGCAGACCGGGCAGCTAGGGCAGGTCCCGCAAGTGACCGCCGGCGCCGGCGGGCACGCGGGGAAGCTCGCGCACGTGACCCGCGCCACTGGGCAGGCGGGACACTGCGTGAGCCAGGCAGTCGCGACCGAGGCAGCCCACGGACCGGCCGCCACCCACGGGGCGCCCATCCGCTACGGGGCCCCAAAATAGAGCTTGAAGCCAAGATGTCACCGCGAGAATGAGATCGTGGCAGGACGAAGCGACGATCGGAAACATTCGAGGCCACTCGGTTGCAGGAAAACGAGTCTGAGACAATTCATCGCGTTCACGCCATTTCAGGCTGGGACGGCCCAAGACTTCCAAGATGGCCCAAGATGGGCCCAAAGACGGCCAAGATGGCCTCCAGATCGGCCAAGATGGTCCACGATGGCCTCCAAAATGGTCCGAGATACACTCCAAGACAGTCAAAGATGACCCGTAGATGTCCGTCGGTGGCTCCAAGACGGCCCTGGATAGCCCAAGAAGGCCTCCAAGAGGACCCCCAAGAGAGCCCGAGGAGGCCACATTCGTTGTTCCTTCGATTTGGGAGATTTGGGCCGCAGAGGCATCTCGACAAGGCAAGGGGGCGGCGGTGGTTCGCTGTTGGCATCTTCGATAGATTGTGGGACGACGGCAGCGTCCTCGAAGACGACATCCCCCAGCTTCCCGATGGAGCCGCTCAATACCTCCATCAAACTACACTTCCCCCGAGCGGATCCGTTGCCTGCGCTGTAGTCCGTGTAGCATGCAATGCTGCGGGTACCGCTGAGCTTGGCTTGTTTCAGTCCAGGCGAACCTCCCTCGTTGACCGACTCGCTAGGACTGGCGGTCACGTCGTACACAGCAGGCCCAGCGTGGGCAAGGGTTGCCAACAACGGCCAGAGAATCAGAGCTGCCATGGCGCTAGATCGCGGCTCTGTAACAGGCTCAACGCTTAGTCACTCAGGCTGCTGGGAGCCAAATATTGCGTGACCCAAAAAGGTTACAGACGTGGCAATCAACACAAGGCACGGGTGGGAGATTGAGAAATTGCTCCGAAGATCCAGGAACAGCCGGGACGCCGCGCGGGAACTCTACAAATACAGCAGCAACAATAACTGACATACAAATTTCGTTGCTGGTTTTGCCTCCCCCGCATGCACCGACGCGTCGCCGTGCGCCGTAGCCCAGATAGTATAGACCAGACTCCACAGATCGGAGGCCGCACGGTGACTTCAACAGTGTAGCAGCAGCTGCTGCTACTAGATTATGCGCCACCGCGCGTGCGCAATAGCGGAGCGTTCGAATGCCTGGAAGCTGTTTACAGGACACCCACCTCCTGCGCACACCAGGTCGCATGCACGAACATCCCCCCTTCCCTCGTGGGGAAAAAAACGGCACGACCACAATGCGGGGAAAGCGTCTTATTGCATGGGCGCACTGTGCGGCATTGCTTTGCACTGCTTAGCATTGCTTGGCACATTGCTTGGCATTGCTCGGCATTGATGGACATGCGTGGCATTGCGTGGCATTGCGAGGCAATACTTGGCGGTGCTTGGCATTGCTTGGAAATGCGTGGCATTTCGTGGCATTGCTTGGCATTACGTGGCATTGCTCTGCATTGCTTGGCATTGTCTGGCATTGCTTGGCATTGTCTGGCATTGCTTGGCACTTCGTGACATTGCTTGGCACTGCGTGTCGAGGCAGTAAGAAACCAAGACCAGGGACCCAAAGAGCCAAGGCCAAGGAACCAAGGAACCAAGATCAGGGGACCAAGGAACCAAGGCCCAGGAGCCCAGGGAACGCTACTGCAAGATCCCAAAACCAAGAAACCTCGAGGATCGGAGAGAGAAATAATACAACAAACAAAAAAAAAAATATAAAAAAACACGCCACGCCGACGCAGTTTCAAAAACAAGCTGGCCTGAAGAAAGACCCGACCCTATACAGATGCGAGCAACGAACCTATGGCCAGTTGCTCATAATAAGCGCGCCGCGAGACGGACGGACCCTGGGCCGTGCGGAGCCTGCCACCGGGGCCCCCGGTGAAGCCCCCCAGGAGGTCACGAAACGTGTGAGGGGTGTGCTTACTCCAGATTTCGCAATAAAAGGGAGGGGGTCTGGACCCTCCAAGACGAGCCATTTCAGACCTCCCCCGTGGGAGAACCCTCCAAAACATCGTCCCCAGACCCCCCAGGCCCTCCAAGATAGCCTGGAAGAGACCCCCCCCCCCGAAATGAGACCCCCCTCCCTTTATTACGAAATCTGGGTTACATGGACCCGAGGTGGTGTGCGGACGCAGCCACCAGAGCCTTCGGTGGAACTCCCATCGAGGCCACAGGGCGTGAGAGGGGTGTGCCGACATGGGGCGGGGCGCCACGTGGACCCTGCCGCTGGGGCAGTCGGTAAAGCTCCCTATATATAGGGAGCTCCACCGAAACGTGAGGGGTGTGACGACATGGAGCGGGCACCATGCGGACCCTGCCATGGCGGCCTCCGACGGAGCTCCTTGTGGGCCAAAATGGGGCGGGCCGCCATGCGGACCCTGCCACTGGAGCCCTCGGTTGCTCCCTGTGGGGCCACCGAAGCTTGTGAGGGGCGTGCCTCAGTGGGAAGAGGCGCCATGTGGACCCTCTTATTGGAGCCTTCGGTGGAGCTTCTCATGGGCCACGAAACGTGTGAGGGGCTTTCCAAAGTGAGGGGGGTGACGGGAGGAGGGAGGGAGATGAGAAGGAGGAGGAGAGGAGGAGGAGGAGGAGGACGAGGAGGAGGAGGAGCA